GAAACCCCTAATTCATAGCCTAATGCTAGGAATGTTGTTGTTCCTCTGACCACAAGCACTGGCCAAGTAAGAAGGGATCTCCAGTAGGCCGGATTCTGAACCCACCTGAATTTGTCCTGCAATAGGTTACAAATGGAATGGGCAGTAGAAAGAGGGAAGGCTAAGAACTTCATCTCCCTTGAGATAGTTCCCAACTTTCTAGGAAAACCTGTTCTTATTTCAAGAACTACAGATATATTTTAGATAAAATATACCGCAATATCTTGGTTCATACTGTGGTTGGTTCATACTGAATATTTTTGTTAAATAGCATGGCTAACAGTCATCAGAATAGTAGAGAGTTCAAAAGCATTGATTTATTCCATTTTCTTCCTCTTATAGTGTCCTTTGGCATTCCAGGATATGGCCGTATACTTCACCCAAGAGGAATGGGACCTTCTAAATGAGGAGCAAAGAATATTGTATTACACCGTCATGGAAGAAAATTCTGAGACCATAACCTCTTTAGGTAAGATTTCCATTCCTATAAGAAAATGGAATCCTTTCTGAAGCTGTCAACTCCATTTTGCTTATACAATAGTCCTTGTGAGATTTATTTATTTATATAGCAAATGTAATAACCCGGGAGCAAGGTACATTTTACTTGGGCATCTGTTTTATCTTCAAAGCAGACTTTTGTGCTGAGACACAACAGATGCAAGGTTCCCTAAGGTTTCCATGGCTCAGGGTGGACTTTAACCTGGTTCTTCCCAAATCTAGTCCAGGATTTCAACTACACTACATTAGTAGACAATTCTAAGCTATTTGGTTCTTGGTATTCTCTGAGCTTGGCTGTTCTCCCACAAATAAGTCAGGTGACCAAGAAGTTCAATATCATTTTGCACCGTGCAGGAAATGGATCCAGAGATACAAGGGAGAAACAATGTTGTCATCAGGGCACTATCAAAAAGGAAATTATATAGATGACAGATTGGAATCTACCTTTATGAGGTGTACCTATATTGGAATTCTGAGCTAGCTAATTTACCCAGCCTGTCCCTGGATAAGACACTTTATTGTGTTAGATAGCTATAAAGAAAATCAATAATCTTCCTTTATTTTGTTGTGTTTCTTTCCCTTCCTCTAGAGCTTTTGATTTCCAAACCAGATCCAAGTCTCCAACCTGACTGGGATGAAGAGGCACAGAGGACTGATTTCCAGAACTTCAAAGGGAAAGACTCTATTGTTCAAGGAGTTATGAATTGGGAGGACATAACTGTGGTCGGTGAGAAAGTCTTACTCTAACAAAAACAACAACAACAACCCTATTTTAAGTCTTATTGGGTTACATACGTTAACTTTTTTTCAAAGTCAAGCACTTTGAATTACCTCTCACACATCCACACCTCTCACACTGTGTCACACATCCACACATCTCTCACACATGGCAGTTGGAACATATAACATTGATCAGAATGTCCACAGTGTCCTTTAGTACATACAGTTTAGCTCATATGCTGGTGACTTTTTCCTTTTCCACCAGTAACTTAGCTGTTGCTCTGCTGATTTCATTACTTCCCACTGTCAGGGACCTGGGCTGGAAGTATAAAATCAGAGACATGTTTCTGAGGGCTCTCATTAACCACTGGATGGATGCCCTCAGCAGAATCTGGGGGACGTCCATTCCAATTCAGCAGCCCCTTTGCCCATTTTAATTGGCCCATTGCAGCTGCCGTAACTCTTAAGTCCCAGTAAATCTTAACTCCACCCAATAAGGTAAACTCTTCGTGTCTGCAAATCACAAAAAGTTGCACACACTTGAATCCCTCATCAAAACTGTGACTGAGATTACTTGGGTAATCAGTGGGAAAGATCTTAGACCCATTGAGAGTATAGTGGCTGGCAAAACATTCCAGGAAGACTTGGGTGTTTCCCTAAATCAACCCTAGCCACTTCCAGCATGGTAATATGTTGAATTAAAGCCCGAGAAAAACTGGTCTCCACTCAAGACAAAAATTTCATGACTTTTAGGCATCTGGTACTAGTCTTGTTTCTTGCATGGTTTCTGATATTTCCTCTGGCTTCACTTTTTTCCTTATTTTAGAATTGCCACCCCAATATCCATATGACTGCTTCCATAATGGCGAATCTGACACGATCTTCCAGATCAGAAGAGATGGGATGATACAGGAGTCTGAGGAAAAGAATAATCTGAGATATTCTTCTCCAGGTAAACTGTTAGGATTAGGGTTGGGGGGGAGGTTGAAACCACCTGGGGAAGGTGAGGATGGGAAGAAAGAAGAGGACAGATGACACTGTAAGATAGATCCAGATTCCTTTTGAATGAGCAAAACATAAGCCTTCAGGAACCAAACATTGTAAGCAATGCAGAACTTTGTTTCCCTACAGGCCGTGTATCTGGCATCCCTGAGCCCAGCCATTTTCCAGTGTTCAAAATATTCCAGTGCCACAGCAATTTCACTCCATCCTTGTTATTACTTCCGTATCTAGAATGTCAGAGAAAGTGAGGTTTTTTTAGTACCCTGTTACTTCTTCTGCTTCTATCATCAAAACTTAGCATATATCTTCTTTGTTCTTGCAGAAAGCCTGACTACCAGGAAAAAAATGCATCAAGAAGAGTTTGGAGCAGAGCAATTTCAGGAGCCAACGCAGTGGGATGTGCTCTTTGATCCTGAAATTTCTGAACCAATGGAGGTCAAATCTAGAAGACAGCAAGGGTTATTCCTGGAGCTGATACAAGCTTCTAAGGCGGACGAGAAAATGCCCAGCAGTAGCTCCCAAGTAGGTTCTACTGTATCAAAAAGAAACTACCCCTGTTCTGAATGTGGGAGAAGTTTTGATCGCCGTTCCAACTTAATTAAACATCAGAGGATCCACACGGGAAAAAAGCCATATCCGTGTATTGAATGTGGAAAATGCTTTGACCAGCAGTCCAATCTAAACGTCCATCTTAGAGTTCATACTGGAGAAAAACCACATGGCTGCCCTGATTGTGGCAAAAGGTTTAGTATCAAGTCACATTTACACGGACACTATAGGATACACACAGGGGAGAAGCCATTTGAATGTGAAGACTGTGGGAAGAGCTTCCGTGTGAAATCTTCCCTAAATAAGCACCAGCAAACCCATACAGGAGCTGCCAAGCTCTCCAAACCATCTGAGATCAAATCAGAGGGGCCCCGGGCAATATTGCCAGAAGTGACATGTGTTTATGCAGCTCCCAAAACAGAAAAAATAATTAAAATTATGAGTAGGAAGCCCCCTATAGAAATTGCAGTGTCGAATAAGAATTTTTCCTGTTTCGAGTGTGGGAAATGGTTTGATCGATCGTCACATCTCATCACACACCAAAGGATCCACACTGGGGAAAAGCCATATCTGTGTATTCAGTGTGTGAAACGTTTTCATCAGCAGTCTAACCTTAATGTCCATTTGCGTCTCCACACTGGGGAGAAACCTTATGGCTGTCCTGAATGCGGCAAAAGATTCAACATCAAATCCCATCTACATGGACATTACAGGATCCACACAGGTGAGAAGCCATTTGAGTGTGAAGACTGCGGGAAGAGCTTCCGGGTGAAATCTTGTCTAAATAAACATCAACACATCCATAAAGGAGAAAAACATTATAAGTTTCTCTCCTGATAAAAAGACCTGCAGCTCTATCTTAATTAAATATCAGGTCATTCTGGAGAGGAAGATTACAATGCTTTAAAGTTGGGGAAAAGCAACTTTTGCAACAAACGAGACTTTGCCAAAGATGAAAAGAATTCACACAGAAGGAAATTCTTCTGCTTTCCTTCCGCAAGAAATAACCATCTGAAAATCTACAGAGAAGGAAGTCCTTGTGGGTGCTTAAATCTGGGGGGGGAATGTTCAGGAAGATAGTTCTAGCAGTGATCAGAAAGGGCTGGATTTAAACACACAACTGATCATAGCAGCACAAAAACAGGCAATTAGTATATGATCCATAAAAACAGGGGTCTACTATCTAGACAAATGCAGAGGTGCCTCAGAGACAGGCGAACACATAATCTCTAGATACAACGCATTGATGCAGGCAGAAACAGCACACTCTGAGCAGCCCAACAAGATAACTAGCATTGTGTACAGGAATATATGCACAGTGTATGTGCCACATCACATCCAGATGGGAGAATCAGCAGAAGGTCATGGAAAATGATAGGACTAAGATTCTGTGGGACTTCCAGATTGAGACAGATAGGCAGGTACTAGCCAATCAACCAGACCTCATGGTAATAGATAAGGATAGAAGACAGCAATGTGATAGATGTATTGCTAACCAAATGACATCAACGTGTGAAAGGAGGAGTATAAGAAATTGGAGAAGTTCCAGGGCCTGAAGAAGGAAGTAGAGGAGAGGTAGAAAGTCGAAGTGGTCCCAGTGGTGGGAGGACTACCTGTGGCTGTGACTCCTAAATTAGAATAATAGTTCCAACAGGCCTCAAGAATAACACCAGAGCTTTCTATTCAAAAGAGTGCAAAGTTAGGAAGCTAAGATCCTACCAGAACCTTCAAACTCCCAGGCCTCTGAAGAGAGGTCCAGAGACTGAAAAGGACACATCACCATTGGGGTGAGAAGGGACTCCTTTAAATGTACAATATAATTCATATGGTACAAGCTGTAACCATTCAAAATGCAACAATTGAAAGATGTTTCCGTGGTTTTTTTTGTTTTTTTGAAGGAGGCTATTGTTTAGTGAATTCCCTAAGGAACAAAGGCAAATGCTTCTATGGAGTCAGATGGAACTTAAATGCCTTAAACTTAGAACACATTGAGAGCCAGTTTGATATAGTGGCTAAGGTGCTGGTCTAGAAACCAGTAGACTTGAGTTCTACTCCCTTCTTTCTCAACCCAACCAAGCTCACAAGATTATTAGGGAGAAAATAGGCAGAGGAAGGCGTGTTGGCATAGCACAAGGTTCAGTGGTTCATTTCACCTGTGCAATTTAGCCAACCACCACACAGAAGTGGGTGGCAATACATTAAGTACTTTATTGCTGCCCAGAAGAGCTCACACTTGGATTAGAGTCACAAAGCAAGCACCCTCTGCATTCCCCTCACAACAGATATTTATATACGCTACAGATTGCGTTGTTTTGGATGGTTGAATCCATTTGCCTTATGATACCTCTTATTTATTTATTTTTGATGGGTTCTTCCCTTTGTCTGAACAGATATTCTTAATGGCCTTATGAGGGTGCCTGGTGACTGCCCATTTTTCCCTTAGAAAGTTCGCACAGCTTCTAGTGTGGTGCAAT